GGATCGTACAATTTCTATCTGCCTCTGATGGCGGTTGCCGTAGTTTAAATTGGTATGAGCCCTGTTCGTACAGCTGTCATCAGCCTGTTAGTGAATCGTGTCCCAGATCCCGCAATAAAAATTCCGTTGCGCTACGTGCCGGATTCCAGACACAGTCACTGACCACTGTACGAACAAACCTATAAACATTTTCAAACCACTAAAAAATAAAGCAACCACTCAACGAATTCGAATAGACTAGAAGGAGCCAAACCTCATGTTTACATTGCATTGTTTGTCGCCCAATTTGCGTAATTTTAATGCATACTTTTGACTCGGCGTTGTATCAACATATGAAAATACTTTCTGGTGGGAACATCCTCCTTTATTAGGATTTTGCTTCTCTTTGCAAGTTATGTAAAAAAGTACCATGGCGTGGAATCGTCAACACCACAATTATCAGCAAACACTTGCACTTAACATTAAGTATACGAATTTAATGACAACTGTCAAAAAATTGAGTTGTGAGAAGTACACTTTGATCCTCACTACAGACTATAAGAATTAGAAGACAGTCAAATCCTTGACCGGCTCCTACCTAGTCTGAATTTGTTTCAATCACTAGGCATGAATCTCGAGAAAGTTAGGTAAGACTTGTAGCATTGCATATTTGCAGTTTCACAAACAATATTGTTCCTTAACACTGCGCTTAGATTTGAAACGTTTCTCTCCATTAGAACGGTTCAGAGGCAAGCTAAGCGTTACCGTTGACTTTCCTATCGAAGGCTTAGATATGAGCAATTATGCTTCTGACAGCAACGCGTCTCAATGCCGCTACAACCTGTACGCCATCTCCAATCACAGCGGCACCACTTACAGCGGACACTATACGGCCTACTGCAGGCACCCATACACTGGACACTGGCACGAATATAACGATTCACGGTAAGCGAAAAAAATAAATTCAATCTTTTTACCAAGACAATTCGAAAAGGCAAATATATTAGGTAGAGAGATAGACCTGCTAAACCAAAAACATGGCGTTCACAAAACTGCTGATCCATCACGTTGACGAGATATATGTACATCCGGTGTTGCCCAGTGGGAAAGTACACTTTTGATTTAAGAAAAAGAAATACAAACAATGAAAATAAAATATTTATTACTATCAACATATTCGTAAATTTGGTGGGTTTTATTTCTTAAATGTCATTCCGTCCAAATGTTTGCCATCTCTTCGGACAAACTCTTCTAATCGCGCGTGCAAATTCTGAAACACTCTCTTGCAAAGTTCCGGAGTGATGTTTATTTCTGTCGAATGTTGTCTTTAAGCTCCTCCAATGTTCTTGGATTATTGGAATACACTTTTGAATTTAGATAACCCCACAAAAAATAGTCGCATGGCGTGAGGTCGGTTGACCTAGGAGGCCAGTGAATGTCTTCAAACTTCGATATAACTTTTTGAGGAACGCGTCGATCAAGACCTCTCTCCACTTCCTCGCGTATACGGTTGCCGCGTAAACCAAATTTGAAATGTGAACTTTCCCACTGGACACCCTGTAGATAATCATTTTTATATGAGTTCAATATCAATTACTTGCAGCGAAAGGGTACTATAAAAGTTTTGCAATACAGCTTTATTTATTGACTTCCTTCAAAGTAATTTCACCACATTCAATACACTACTCCATCCGCCAAAACCAGTCCTTAAACCAGCTCTGCCAAGTTTCACCCGGGAGTGCGGCACACTCGTTGTTCCAAGCCCTCAGAAGGTCCTCATCGCTAGAAAACCGTTTTAGCTTCATTTTCACATGCGGAAACAGTGCAAAGTCGCGGCGAGCAAGATCTGGACTGTAAAGAGGGTGCGCAATAAGTTTCAGTAACAGTAGTGGTCAAATACTCGGTACAGGCTTTGGCGCAGAGAGTTGTCACGATGGAGGTACCAAGGGTCCATTCTTGACTTTGGTCGCAGGTTTTTGATAGACTCTATGACTTTAGGCAGATACTGTACCGTGTACAACTTAGCTGTGACTGTCTTCTCTGTGTCCAAAACGACACGCTCCACAATTCCGATCGATTTGAAAAATACGGCTATCAGTTTTTTCTTAACAGAGTTAGAGTTAGAGAAGTTAACTGCCTGTTGACCGTGAATTCGGTTCTCTTTAACTAATCCATAATTATGGATGCAACATTGCAGCTTCTGCGGTCTGAGGTAGTAGTAGCAGTATTTTATTTGGACAACTACAAAAGCGCAATGTTCAAATGGCAAGCTAATATATAGAGAAAGGAATGGCATAATTATTACAGCTTAAGTTTGATACAAACAAAGATAAATATGATAAAGTAAATTGGTACAGTGCTGTTTAGTTTTGTTTCCTTTTGTGGAATATCAAGTTTATAATTGATGTGAATAAATATTATTATTAATCTCTTTAGCAGATTGTAAATAAGTATCTTCTATTACAGTGGTGACAAAAGTAGCACGCAGAAAGTGAATGCAAACCTCTATTCGTAACTAAGAGGCTCATATTCAACATGATTTCTGCAAAATAGATAACATATGTTAAGTTGAAATTATTGAAATTTTCAAAATTGTTATAGCTAGGACATAATTTTGTTCTAAGGAAACCTGAAAACTAGAACAACTCTAATCTTTAGATCTTTTTATTGGGTGTAGGATTTTCCCAAATTTTATGATTGAATTAGCTTAATTTGTTTATTTTTATTTCATTTCTCTGTTCTTTTGACTTTTACGCCCAAATTTCGAGTAATAGATAAAAAATCACAGAAATGGAAGAATCTCAAAAGCTATTGATTTTCGACCATAAGGGTTGTTGCATTTTTAGGTTCCCTATCATGCCCTTGGAGGAATACGGCGAGTTACCAGTAACCCTGTGTAATCAAAGAAATGTTTGAATGTTATTTTTTTTTTCAGGGTATCTTCAATTTCTTCAAAATCTCTTGTCAGCGGTGAAGCATACGTTCTCTTTTACGAACAAGAAACAGCAAAATCTCACTTGTAAAACGAATAGATTTTATCTTTTGAAAAAGATTTTTTGATTTAAATTATTTATATAATTTACAATATACAAGATCCTCTAATATTTTTTGAAATTGGATGTATTTTTACTCAATATATCAAAACTTTTGCCCTGCTACACACATGAGTATTTTTGTGATGTATTCGAAAAAATGTTTGTCATTTATTATACGTTTATTTATTTATTTATTGTCGGAGGTGTGTCATTTTTGCATAGGTAGAAAAAACCAAACTGATATTTTCTCCATCTAGTCCTTTATTCAAAGTCAAAGTAGTTATAATATAAAGACCCATTTATCATATTTCAACTACGTTTGACTTATAAGAATTGAAATTTATTTAAATAATTCTTTTATGCATGTACTTATCACCAAAAACAGTTGATATTGTAGAAAATACTTATTACCTGTGGAAAGATAACGCTCACTATATACATATATATTTTTTTGTAAAACTATTCTAGATATTACATAGAGTGTCTCCTACCTCGATGAAGTTACTTGCTTTTCAGTACACTAAGTAGAGGTTTATACAATTGTTACAAAAATTAGACAAATCAAGCACTTAAGAAAAGATGTCCATGAATTTAAAATGTTATGTAAAATACTTTAATAAGCTTTATATTATTGAAAAATGTTTAAAGCGCTAACTTATAATAAATTGTTTGAAAAAATTATTGTTTCTCTTAGCGATCTAATGGCGGTGCGATTAGCGAAAAAAATTAAAATCTTCGCGTTTTCCGAGTCTCCGATTATTTTACATAGCTCAAAAACTTTTTTAAAGTGGTCAATAGTTCAGAAATTTACGAACGTTGTTTTAGGTCGTAGTCAAAGTATGTTAGGGGGTTAAAAACCAATTATAACTGATTGATGTTCAGTACTTTCATGTACCTAATATTTTGAATACATTTGAACCATTGCGTTGGCAGACTGTTGCAGTCAACTTAACTCAATTATGTGGAATGCTGACAGGTAAATATGTATAATTTGACGCTATTTTATCATCATCAGGACAGGACGACCACAGTTTTAGAATAAGCATAGTGATAAAAACACACACATGGCCAATGTATATTGAACTTTCAACATTCAACAAATAAGGACATTAAAAATCAACACCTTTCAAACACTTTATACAAATTAGGCAGATTGGCTATTTCCAAAATGGCAGCATTGTTAATAAAGCGTTCGGAGGTATAAAACATTGCTTAATAGCAGGATATATAACATGTTCAGTTATCCATTTCCAATCCTTGTCATTTTGATTTGATTCTTTGGAACATTTGCAAAAAAAGAAGCCAACTCTCTAGCGAAAGTTCTAAAACATTCTTTTTCCGTGTTCCAGTCAACTTCGGCGGCAACTCTCGTAACAAAAAAACGGTAATTCTCTGGGATCTGGCACATAGTCATCTGAAAAATTGTATTAATATTCGCAATTATTTTATTTGCCGTATATTAATTCTGAAGCAGTTTGTCAGAAAAAAAAATCCAACATCTGTTTCGTTTGTAAGTCTCAACAACTTTGAAAGAATGGCATATTTTGAGTGCATGGATATATTGAACCAGGTTATGAAAGGTAAAACGAGAAAATACATACCAATTAATACAGGTATACTATACAGATTTCCATCTGCGTCGATTCCCAAAGAAAAATAGTCCTTCAACATCTCCGACTTATCCACCAAAATGTCCGATACTTTTCTTGCCAATTCGTCTTTATCGCCATCTTCAGGTGTCCATCCACTTTCAGGCATATCTAGGCACATCAGGGCAAGTTCATATATCGATATTTTGTTATTAAATATGTACGTATCAAAATTCTGAAAATTATACAAGATGTACTGGTAAAACATCTCTGCCAGAATTTTTCTAGTATCACAGAGGAATAATTTTGTGGAGTACTGGATCAGAGCTTGTGAAGGAGATATAGCTCCAACATAGACGTGCTGAGCGAATGTTCTCTGAGGCCTTTGTGACAGTTGTCTTCAATGTCTTTTTCGTAACTCGATAATGCTTATCAGTTGCGTTTCTACCCTGAAATACACAAATCTCATAGTGCTGGTAATAATCGTCGCCCTGCGTACGAGTTATTTTGCTTAAAAATCTGCAAACTCAAAGTAAAATATATTTTCTAATTCCGATAACAATAAAGATATTGGAATTTCCTGATATTACCTGTTCACTCTCGATAGAAATGCAATATTTTTTAATGGTTGCAATATCACTTTTCTTATTTGATTTTTCGGTATCCTTTGGCATTTCGTCTTCAACCATATTTTCAATCTCCATTTCGCCATTATTTACTGTAATAGAGCAAATATGTTTGCTAAAACTTTGTATTGAAATCAATTAAGGTCACAGTAATAGTAATAATATGGGGATTCGAAGCCTGGCAATTTGACCACATTTAGCCCTTTTACACCAATTCCGTGTGTACCAACTATAACTAACAACACAAACCGCATTAAAAACTTGATGTCGCACCTGACAGAATTTGGAACGAAAGTCGAAAAATATGAATGGTCAGCTTCTCAGATCTTTTCTCCTCTCCAGCTCGGCCATTCATGTGTTAAAAAAAGAATAACATTTCACAACTAAGCCTACCTGGCTGAGCTTTTTGTTTATTCTTATCTGCTACTGAATCTTCATTCCTAACTACCACTGGTATGTTCGAATCACTATTCTGTACAATCAAATCCTCCAATTTGTTGGTCCTTGCAATAAACTCTGCATGGCATTGTTGAAATTCTTCCGCATTTATAGATTCGTTCATTTTTTTCTCATCTGAATTATTCTTGGTAGTACTAGTAGTAAAAAACTTATCCAACTTCTGTTCTTGAAATCCGTTCTTACAAACTCTTTCGGATTAATGGTTTTGTTATTATCTACGTTTTTTTCTTTTAGGCGCTTCTATTTCTACATCGTACAACTTCGGTAGTTTTGCCTGGAATCACACATTTATCTTATTTGAAAATTCTCTACAATCTGCTCAGCATTTCCTTGACTGTAATTTTTTGAGTGATTTACCTGTGTAAAAAATACTCTCGAATTATTTGATCCAAGAAGTTTTGTTTCTAGCGTAGATGTAATAGTTTCAACTATTTTGCTGTTCATTCAGAAAATGAACTTCATGCTTTGTTGGTGAAATATTTACATCAATATTTCCTGGATCTAATTCTAGGCTCATGTAAACGAAAGGATGAGCATTTTTTGGTAAATATGTTTCATAAACGTGGTCAATACTTTTCTTTAAACCTACAAAGGATAGCTTTTCCATAATATAAACATAGATAATATGTTGTAAGATTAAGAATTTGTGAAAGTTGGTTTTTATAGAAGAATATAAGCTATTTTCTAAACTATACCAGGTGTTATTTTCTTGGGTTGTTTCAGTCACTAGTTTTTACATTCCAAGAATGTTTTAAATATCTTGACCTTTGATTAACTTACTTTGGCAGTCAACTAATCGATGGTTGATGAATAAAAGGAACTGGAACGTTTTGGTAGAATAATTAACATTTGTCATAATCCTTTTGCTTTGAATTTAAACTGGTGAATTATCAATAGAAAATTCTATCAACTCTCTAGCAATGAGATCGCCATAGATAGTCCTAATATTCTCTACATGATTGGAACCCTGGCGAGTCCTAACATCATTATTTCCAGAATGTTTTTCAAGGCAAAACCTAAAATCACAAATACAAATAATTAAATTCAAGCATATAACAAGAAGCAGCTGAGCCTGTAATGCCATGAGTCAACATTTTTAGCACCAATTAAAAGTGCGGGACCTACTTGGATGGAGCGATAATTTTGCAGAGACTGTCCGACAGCTCAAACGGCTTGATAGATTTTCACATATGAGGTGTCCTTGGATTCGTCTTAGCGGTGCGGGAGGCGCAATCTACATTAAAATCTTATACAAAACAAAATGGATTTAAATAAAAGATTAAACCTTGTTTATTCCTATCTCACCGGCTATAGCTTAAACGGCAGTCTAGCTCCACAATAGAGCGTATATCGTCACTTTACTGTAAAAACAAGATTTTCTACATTACCTATATTTTAGTATGTTCTGTGGAGCAAGATTAACATGCTCATGACGTTCATACTGCACTACATTTATTCATCCTTATTTCACAGAACATCCTAAGTACTAACTACATGCAAGTGTGAAAAGGTACGCAACTCGAAAAGTAGAAAAATGGAGTTATCATCTTTTTGCAGTAAAGCTGGCGGTAGTTTATAACAAATAAACGGAAATGACTTAGTCTAAGCCACAATTTTCTCCGTTTCCTTTACGATTTTTTGGTCTTTCAAGCTTTTATTCAGTTCTTTGATCCGGAAAAAACATCCTTGACCTGAAAAAAAGGTTTCTAGCTTTTCAGGGCAGTGAATGTTGCTGTTTCTCCCAACCAGAAGTTCGTCCCTATAAACTTTTGCTTTTCTGTCCCCATTGAATGTAGTAAACACCATATTAAGCTTCTCAATTTGATTCATGAACGCTGTGGAAGGTTTTGATAATCCACTCTCACTAAGATAGTCTATCCAGGAATAAGTTTCATCTGAGGAACTTGGTTGTCGGAATTACATCCCACAACAGCACACCGCATTTTTATCAATTCACTAATATCGCAGGGTATATAAAGTATGTATAACTAATACAATAAGTCATGAAC